TTTGTATATTTTTCGAGTCATTTATCACACTAATGAATAGCCATATAACCCATCCCTATTTTTATAAGGCAAAAATGCAAGGGTTTAAAGAAATTTCTTTTTTAATATAAAAAATTAATAACTTGAATTCCTAATATTTTTTTAAAATTAGTAAACAGTATAAAGTTTTTACTGGCATAGTTCATTTAACTTAAACTTAATAGATAATATCTGATAAATTAAGTTTTTAATAAGTGCGGTGTATATACCGGGTTTATCCTACAGGTTGTCTCATTTTAATCGATCACCTCAAATATCTCTTGAACAGTGCATTTTAGGGAAAAATGTTTCAGACAAAAGTTTTGGGACTTCGAGGGGGACATAAGATGATAACATTGGTTTGACCCTGAGTGGCGTCGTCAAGGTCAGGGCAAGGTCACTTTGAATTTTTTAAATGGAAACTCCCCATTTTTCATTATACATTCTTGTAGTCACACTTCGAGAGCTTTCTAAAACGCTTAATAAAATTATTTTTCAATAAAAAATACTTTTTAAGTTATGAAGCTTGAAAGTACCGTCGACATTAGCATTATCTGATAGACTGACACCTCGAGCATACCTCGAGCATAGCATACCTCAAGAGCTTTCCAAAACACTATTTTATTAAATATCTTTCGAGTAAAAGGCTTCAAAGTTTCAATATTGTTGGCATTAGCATTGGTACCCAAGGTGTTCGACCGACGGCTAAAACTTTTTGAATGTTGTTCAGGTCCATCACCTTGATAACATTTGTCAAGGACAACATTTGACTCGGAGTGCATGTGTACTTCTTTGTGACCCCGAGGAAGCATCGTGACCTTCATATGACTTTTTGAGATTAATCGAGCCGCACATGTTATCCCATTTTTTTTAATTATTATTTTCATCTTTATTGTAAAAATTGAAATAATAAAAATACGAGGAAGAACCTCCAATCGTCTTGACCTTGACAAATGTTGTTAAGGTGATGACCCTGAACAACATTCAAAAAGTTTTAGCCGTCAGTCGAACACCTTGGGTACCAATGCTAATGCCAACAATATTGTAACTTTGAAGCCTTTTAACTCGATATTTAATGAAATAGTGTTTTGGTAAGCTCTCGAGGTATGCTATGCTCGAGGTATGCTCCAGATGTCCGTCTATCGGACACCTTGGATGCTAATGTCGACGGTACTGTAACTTTCAAGCTTTATAACTTGAAAAGTATTTATTGAAAAATAACTTTATTAAGCGTTTTGGAAAACTCTCGAGGTGTGCTACAAGAATATGTAATGAAAAATGAAAGATTTCATTTAAAAAATTCAAAGTGACCTTGTCCTGACCTTGACGACACCACTCAGAGTCAAACCAATGTTATCATCTTATGTCCCCCTCGAAGTCCCAAAACTTGTGTCTGAAACATTTTTCCCTAAAATGCACTGTTCAAGAGATATTTGAGATGATCGATTAAAATGAGACACCCTATATAATTTTAACAATATGAAAATTCTTCTTTTAAAATTAAATTCGAAGCAATGGGCTCTAAAAAATAAATCAATATAGTGAAAATATAAAAGCCAACACAGGTGTTGGTATGTTAAAATTCTTATTGTTACAATATTCACCACACTCAATCTGCACACCGCGCGGTTTATCGGACTTGAAACACATCTCTTTGCGTGAAGTCGAAAACTTGTAACTTATAATTAAATTGACAAACAATTTAATATCTTTCGATGGTGTTATTTTTCGCAATAAGTTCTTTACAGGCTTGAGGGGAGAGAAATTTATAGATACATAATAGCATCGAAAAATATTAAATTGTTTGTCAATTTCTTCTTTTGAATCTTCTCGTCTTTTACCTTTCCTTCGCCAGCAAAATGCAAGAGTCCATCAGTCGCTACCAGCATCAGCTTCCGTGCTTGATGAGCCCAATCAACTTGTTGATCGCAAACAATCGCTTGCACAATCCCATCGAGACCACCTTCCAGATTATCCACATTACCAGTCACCGAACTATAATTTACCTATAACTCGTTTATATATTATATGTTATTTAAATATCTTTTTCAAAAACTCTTAAACAATCTAATTATGTAAATATATTCAAATTACTTCAAATTCCTTTTTTTAACTGAAAATTGTTGAACGTTCAAAAAATCGAAAAAATTGTTTCTGAGAAATGATTAAATATCTTTAATATTCACAACTTTTTAAAATAAATTTATTATATCTATATACATATGTAATATATGTATAAAATATATATTTCTCATGTATTTTCTTTATTTATATCATATTTATATATTTTATTATCTCTATGTTATATTTAAGTTGTTATATTTGAATATTTAAGTATAATATAAAAGTATTAAGTAAAGTTAATTATATAGAGTGCATACTTCGTGAATAAATCTTGGTATATTGTCAGTGAGTTCTAAATGATGCCAGAAGGAATACAGTGGCTTACAAATGGCGTTTTCGCTTTTACACGGATTTTCCTCGTGTTTTGGAAAGATATATGGCATCAAAGGTTTATCGGCGTAACTTCCAAAGCCAAGACGAAAATTCGTGGTGAATGTACCGAGCGTATTAGCCATCTTCCAACCTAATCCTACCAGAGTTTCTTTATCGTCCTTCATCGACCATGTGAGATCCATAAGATAATAGAGATCCAATGGGTAATTTCTAATTAAACAAATAGTAAAATAAGATGAAAATAATAAAGATTACATATACCTACATATATGTATCAATATTATCATCTATATGTATATACATATATGTATATACATATATATACAGGGTGTCTCTTAATAGGTGTATCAACGCTCATGGGTAGATAGAATGGACTAAACTGAATCGAAAAGTCCTCTACCATTTTGCAAAATTCGCAATATTTAACGAGATATTAATTTTTGAATATCGCCGAATGAGCGAGTATCTGTTCGGCGAGTCCGGCCCACCGCCAATAC